CCACCACCACCACCACCATCACCACCACCACCATCACCACCGCCACCAGCAACAACAACTGAATTGTGAGGTGTTTTTCTCTTTATGTTTCAGGTGTATCTGGATTACATGCTGAAAATTGATGATGATTCAGATTTAGTTTGGGATACTTGGTTGGAATCGAAGCCAAGTTTATTTGCAGATTGTTCCCAATAATCACACTCATACATAAGAATTCATTAAATAGTTTACTCAGTAAACATATAGGTACAGAGATTTCCCTTTTTTTTTCTTTTCCTTATTTAGAGACAGGGTCTCACTGTTGCCCAGGATGAATGCGGTGGTGCAATCACAGCTCACTGCAGCCTAAATTCCTGGCCTCAAGCAATCCTTCCCATCTCGGCCTCCCCTGTAGCTGGGAGTACAGGAATGTGCCATCATGCCCAGTTAATTTTTTCTTTAACTTTTTGTAGAAATCAGGTCTTGCTGTTGCCCAGGCTGGTCGCAAACCCCTGGCCTCAAGCAATCCTCCCACCTTGGCCTCCCAAAGTCTGGGATTACAGGCATGAACCACCATGCCCGGCCAGAGGCTTTTTCAAACATGGCACAGAAGGAAGCATCAAAAAGAGGTTTGAGCTAGCACAGCTCTCCTAGCACTGGTCCACAGAAACAAGTGTCCACAGGTTACACAAGGTGCTCCTCACAAAGTGAAGCGCAGCCAGTTGTTTTCAGTTAGCTGTTTACCCTATCCTTATATGCGACTCACAGCTGGCCACATCTCTGATATCATCTTTCCTGACACATTCTGCTTCATACAAACACATTACACACAATAGGTTACAACGCACATGACCTGTTCATGCCTGCAGAGCTGCCTTGCAATCATTGTGGTTTGGGGATAAACCTACACTAGCATCGGGAAGGCTGGAATGGTAACACTCTATGTTTAAATGCTCCCTTCACGTGACCACTCTCTAATGAACATTAAAAAGTTAACTTGCATCCTCCCATTTCTTATTGTGAGTCTGAACTTGATCTGGTTTTTGTAAGTATTTTTAATGATAGGATAGTCTTTAAATGAGAACCTCAAGTTATAAATGTCCCTTCACTTGTACTTCTCTCTTCCTTTCATCTTACCAGTGAATGTAGCTTCTATAGCTACATTCGTTTTCCTAGGTACCTTTAGCGATTTAGGTATGAATAAATAAATCTGATGTTTCCTGGTTCATTTAATCTTGGCACTCTGATAAGATGTCAAGACTACCTGGATACAATGAGTAATAATTGTGTTCTAAGCTGCGAAAATCCCACAATGAAAATAAAGAATTATCAGATAGTGTCACAAAAGTAACATATTTGGTCTCAAATCCACTACTCATTAAGGTATGTGAGTTGATATGTCTTTGGGGTATGTGGTGTGGGAAGGAAACTTATAGAAGAAAGCAGACTTAAGTATAGCTTAGTTGAATTCCATTGTTTTGAACTAGTCAAGAGATGTTATATTGCCTGCTTCTAAGATGCAGACAGACCTCATGAGGTAAATAAAATTTTCTAAGACAAGGGGAGTGAGAATGGCCTCTCCCTTCACTATATGGCAAATAAATGAGGCTATGGGAGAATCCTGAGGGTGGAAACCATTTTATTCGCACACATGACACAGTACTATTACAAAGAAACAATTACTGATAACTCACAATACTGTAGTCCAATTATGCCGAGGTCCCAAAATATTTATTTCATTTGCTAGTTCATTCCTTAAAGACAGGACCAGAGTAATACATGTTTATTAACACAGACCACAAGGTAAATGGAGCCTCCTGGAGTTGTGTGAAATAGAAAACCTGTACAAAGATCTCCTTCAAAATGCAGACTGAAATGCAAATCTAACGGGGAAAAAAGAGAGACCTCTGTGTAGCCTAATGGCAATTATTTCCCTTCAAATGGCATTTGTGTGCCAACTGGAGAGAATGATTAGTTGAGAGAGGATAAAGAAAAGTGAAATTCTTAAGGGAGATGTTTAGTAAATGACAGGAGATGCTGGCATCTACACTGGGCCTCTTTAGTTTGTAAGTATGTATGTATGGATGGATGGATGGATGGATGCATTTTTAGAGACAGGGTCTCACTATGTTGCACAGGCGGTCTCAAACTGCCAGGCTTAAGTGATCCTCCTGCCTCTGCCTCCTGAGTAGCTGGGACTACAGGCAGAAAACACTGCACTCAGAGCAACGTAATTTATTACGCTTCATGGAATCATAAGTGAAGCAACTCTGGTTTAATCTTAGAAAAGTTGATTTTCTTTCTGACAGTTTGTTGGATGAGAACTGGTGGGAAAGGCTTTGAAGAAGTCCCTCTAGTAATCTTGATTACTGAAGTGGAAAGTCTTGCCCATAGGTTACAGATTACATGAATCATACATAATAAAGAACAGACTATGGATCAAGGATATTTTAATTGTACAGCACCACTTTTCAGAGCACCAGAAAGGATGGTACATCATTCTCTCCTTTCTTCACCCATTAACTGGTTATCTTGTTTCCTGTCCATACATATTTGACCCATGTACCAATGTTTTTTTGTAGGTTGTACAGCTAACCCAGAGGAAGCGTAAGACTTCATATGCATTTTGCTTTCTATCACTGAAGAGGAGCTTGGTAATAACTGTAAGCCTATTTACATATGTAGCAGATGGCAACAATCTCCAGAGCCATTTATATATGCAGCAAAAAAGCAAAAATGACTGTGTTACTTGGTATAATTTCTACTGCACTATTAAAATACAAAGAGAAAATATTGATATTTAGAGTGGAAAATCTTGGCAGATGTCAGCGTATGCCCTGTGAGGTGTACACTGATGCCCACAATGTTATTAAATGCTCATCATTTAATGAATGGCACAGAAAACATATGGCACATTCAAAATATTAACTCAATAACATTTAATAAAGGGGCTATTTACAGATATGTTTTCAAATTAAAGAAACCCAACAAGTAACAGGGAAGCTCCCAGAAGTAGTTGAGTCTGAAGAGCAAGGAGAGGGACTGTGGTTAACAGAAAGCTGAGAGATCCACAGCTGCAGACGGGGCTGCCAGAGGAAGGACACAGACTGGCAGAATCACGGTCCAGGAGGGAGGGACAGGTGATAAATATTATGACCTCTCTCTCCACTTCCTGGTACCTCCCATTGTTCAAACCTGCCTCTAGCAGATCTCTTCCTGGTACCTCCCTGATCTTTTCCTGGTACCTTCCATTATTCAAACCTGCCTCTTGCAGATCTCTTCCTGGTGCCTCCCTGATCTTTCCTGGTACATCCATTGTTCAAACCTGCCTCTTACAGATCTCTTCCTGGTACCTCCCATCTTTTCCTGGTACATCCATTGTTCAAACCTGCCTCTTGCAGATCTCTTCCTGGTACCTCCCTGATCTCTTCCTGGTACCTCCCATTGTTCAAACCTGCCTGTTGCAGACAGCCTTGGGCACGCAGGGCAGACAAGGGAGGAGAACCGATCTGGAGAAGCAGAGAACAGTCAGCACATGTGAAGCCATGACACAGAAAACTCCTGCTGTGCAGCCGCTGCAAACACAAATCTCCTGGGCTCTGCAGAAATCGGCTTCTGTCCCAGATGATGCAGTCTGTTCAATTATTTTTAAAGATTTCTACTTAAGTGCTATTGCTGTCATACACTACTTCTAAATACATCATAAGCCCAAAATACATTATCACGGTTTTGACTTTAAGCAGTCAATTCCCTTAAGACAATTTTAAAATGAGAAAAACATCTTTTATATTTACCCACATATTCACCACTTCCAGAACTTTATTCCTTTGTATGGATTCAAATTTCCATTTTGTATTATTTTCCTGCTTCCCCCAAACTTCCTTTAATGTTTCTTACAGGCAGGTCCACAGGTGGTACATTCTCTTTGACTTTTTTGATCTGAAATAGTCTTTATTTTGCCTTCATTTTGGAAAGATGTTTTTGATCGAAATAGAATTCTAGTTTGCAAGGTTTGTTGTTGTTTTTCTTTCTTTCAGTAATGTAAAGATGGCATTCCATTGTGTTCTATCTTGCATAGTTCTGACCAGAAGTACACTGCCATTCTTTGTTCCTGTGGATATATATTTTTCCTAGGTGTTTTAAAATTATTTTCTTTATCATTGGTTTTCGTCGATGTGTATGTATTGCTGTGATTTTCCTTATGTTTATTGTTTTGTGTTCTTTGAGATTATTGAATATGTGGAGCTATTGTTTTTTATCATATTTGGAAATTTTTCAGCCATTATTTATTCAAATACATTTTTATGCCTCTTCTCTTTCTCTTCAGAACTCCAATTATACATATATTATACCACTGTAATTGTTTTCCTATTCTGTCTCTTTTTAAAAAGTCTTTTCCCAACAAAATGTGGTATATGTATACCATGGAATACTACTCAGCCATAAAAAAGGATGAATTAATTTGTTTTGCAACAATTTGGATGGAACTAGAGACCATTATCCTAAGTGAAAAATCTAAAGAATGGAAAAACAAACACTACATGTACTCACTATTAAATTGGAACTAACCGATGAGCACACATGTGTATAGCAAAACTCAGTGGAAATCAAGCAGGGGGGAGGGAGGAGGAGGGGATTGTTGAAAACATTCCTAATGGGTATAATGAACACGATTTGGGTGATGGGCACACTTACAGCCCTGACTCCTGCATTACAAAACTGATCTATATAATCAAAAACTTTTGTACCTCTATAGTATTTTTTTTTTTTTGAGACAGGATTTCACTTTGTTGCCCAGGCTAGAGTGAGTGCCGTGGCATCAGCCTAGTTCACAGTAACCTCAAACTCCTGTGCTCAAGTGATCCTTCTGCCTCAGCCTCCCGAGTAGCTGGGACTCTAGGCATGCACCACCATGTCCGGCTAATTTATTCTATATATTTTTAGTTGTCCAATTAATTTCTTTCTATTTTTAGGAGAGATGGGGTCTCACTCTTGTTCATGCTGGTTTCGAACTCCTGACCTTGAGCCATTCTCCCACCTCAACCTCTCGGAGTGCTAGGATTACAGATGTGAGCCACCACGCCCAGCCTATGTTAACATTCTTGTCTACTAATTCTGTCACCTGTATTTTATGGGTCTGTTTCTCTTGATTTATTTTTATCCTGGTTTTGAGTCACATTTTCTTGCTTCTTTGCATGCCATATATGTTTTCTGAATGCCAGATATTCTGGGTCCAGAACAGCTTTTAATCTAGGGTGAATTAGCCTCATTACTAAGACAATATCCTTCTGAGTATTCTACCTGATGCCCCATGTGTTATAATTTGTCTCCACTCTGGCTGGTGGGAACATGAACTATTCCCAGCCCTGTCTGAGCCCCAGCAACTGTTCAGCCTACTGCTTTCCAGTGCTGCTTTGCCTGGCCTCAGGAGTTTCCTTTCACACATGTGCAAATCAGTACTAGGCCAAAGTACTGAAGGGACTCCTTGATGATTTCTGGAGCCCTGACTCTGGGAAGCTCCCTCCTCTCCAGGATCTGCCTTTGCAAATTCCAGTTACTGTGGGTTCCCCAAATGCCAATTCTGTCTCTTCACTTCAGCAAGCCTGTCTGTTCTCTTCTCTGAACTGTAACTTGGTAATGGCCATTAGGCAGCAGGCTGGGCGATCATAGGACACACCTCACTCTCTATGTTCTGCCATGGACCACAAACCTGTGCTTGTCATACATCTAAAAACCATTATACTTCATATATGTTGTAATTTCTAGCAGTTTAAGGCAGAAGAGTTAACCTGATCCTTGCTACGCCACTACAGCAGAAAGCAGAAGTCTTCACATTTAAGTAAACATACCTACCATTTAAAATTCACTACTATTTGTAATAATTTATATACAGTGAACATAACTTCCTTATAGAACTATTTCAATAGAGTCATGCTTACCAAATTCTTCAAATTATTAGGACTACTCTTCTGTCTGAAATCTCTAATACATAATATTCAGTTTCTGTATTCAATTTCCTTTCTGTATGTATTCTCTAGTGTACAGCGAGTTGTCCTTTTTCTGATGAAATCTTTCATTCACTTGTTACCAATGGTTTTTTTTCCTATTTAGGTCTTCTAAATATTTAATAAACTGTGACTTTTGACAGAAAGCTTCTATATTATCTACTTCTATACTATCACAACACTGTCAGTATTCACCTTGATGAGTTGCCCAAAGTATAATGAATTATATTCTGGGAGGCGGCTTTTCTACATTGTCTATCTTTTAAAAAATTCTCTCCTTTCTGAATTTTGTTTAGTGAATTGATTCCCCCCATTAACACTTTTTCAATGGTCACTGCCCCAGTTGGATTTCTCTCCTATATGTGCCCTCAGAAGTGTTAGAAAGTATGACTTCTGATGGAAGACTTTCCAAATTCACTGTACTCATAGGGTTTCTATATTATATGATTTCTCTGATGTATCATGAGTTGTGACTTCCTGTTGAAGGTGGTCCCACATTCACTGCACCCATAGTATTTATCTCCTGTGTGAATTCTCTGATGCCTCATAAGGTGTGACTTTCTAGTGAAAGACTTCCCACACTCGCCACATTGATAGGGCCTCTCTCCTGTATGAATTCTCTGATGTATAATGAGCTGTGCCTTCTCAAAGAAAGCTTTTCCACAATCACTACATCCATAGGTTTTCTCACCTGTATGGTTTCTCTGATGTTTAATGAGCTGTACTTTCTGAACAAATGCTTTCCCACATTCACTGCATTCATACGGTTTCTCCCCTGTATGGATTCTCTGATGCCTAAGGAGCTGTGGCTTCCAGGCAAAAGCTTTCCTACACTCACTACATTCAAAGGGCTTTTCTCCAGTATGGGTTCTCTGATGATGAATGAGACTCGACTTCTCACTGAAAGTTTTCCTGCATTCACTGCACTCATAGGGTTTCTCCCCAGTATGTGTTCTCTGATGTGATATCAGGCTTGACTTCTGGGTGAAGGCTTTCCCACACTCACTGCATTCATAAGGCTTCTCCCCAGTGTGAGTTCTCTGATGTGTTAGGAGCTGAGACTTCCCAAAGAAGGTTTTTCCACATTCAACACATCCATAGGGTTTCTCTCCTAAATGAATTTTCTGATGTCTTATTAACTCTGACTTCTTAAAGAAGGCTTCTTCACAATCGCTACATTGATAATTTTTCTCTCCTGTATGAGTTATCTGATGCTTAATAAGCTGCGGTTTTCTGATGAAAGCTTCACCACATTCATTGCATTCATAAGGTTTCTCTCCTGTATGAATCCTCTGATGCCTAATGAGGAGTGAGTTCCTGCTGAAGGCTTTTTTACATTCACTGCATGCATAAGGTTTCTTCCCTGTGTGAGTCCTATGATGAGTGATAAGCTGTGACTTCCAAAAAAAGGCCTTTCCACAATCACTACATTTATAGGGTTTCTCTCCTGTATGCATTCTCTGATGTGTAATAAGCTTTAACTTCTGGGAGAAAGCTTTCCCGCACTCACTACAACTGTAAGGTTTCTCTATTGTATGGGTTACCTGATGTCTTTTAAGCTGTGACTTCCTGCTGAAGGCTTTTCCACATTCACTGCACCCATAGGGCTTCTCTCCAGTATGAGTTCTCTGATGTAAAATGAGCAGTGACTTCCTACTGAAAGCTTTTTGACATTCACCACACCCATATGGTTTTTCTCCTGAATGAGTCCTTTGATGAATAGTGAGCAGTGACTTCTGTGAGAAAGCTTTTCCACATTCACTGCACTGATAGGGCTTCTCTCCTGTATGAGTTCTTTGGTGTATGACAAGCTGTGACTTCTTGTTAAAGACTTTGCCACACTCCATGCACAAATAGACTCCTGTATGTGTTATGTGATTTGTAATAAGCCATGACTCTTTACTGCTGGCTTTTCTACATTTATTGCAATGACAGTATTTTATTCCACCATGGGTTCTGTCAGGTTTAATATAAAATGGTATTTTCTTATTGAGCTCATCAAGTTTCTTTCTTCCACAGTTACTTTTTGAAATAAGAAAATCAAAAGGATGTTTTAAACTTTTTTCACCTGTGCCACATTTATAGGATCTCATTCCTAAATGAACAAAGTTCATGCTTGAATTAAATATTCTCCCCAGAACATCATATTCGTGGCCACTCTCCATACTTTTAAGCTTGTCTTGATTATCTTGATGCAGCATTTTGGATTTATTATCTAGCCAGACTTCTAAAAAGGAAAAAAATAAACCATACTGTGTAATTCCCTCAGTGATTATGCTTATTGAATAAAGCTTCTGAAATATAGCCAGGATCCCAGTGCAAAAAAGGAAAAAAAAATTCCCTAAAATAATAGCTACTTATTGGGCATTGAAAATTTTAACAGAAATGAAAATGGATTTAAAAATCATAATTGCTTAAACATACAAACTTTTGAATAAGAAAAAAAATGAAATGTACTCAAGAAAGAGTAATCAGGAGATAAAAGAATTTGGAACAATTTCTAATTGAACACTGGAGTGATTAATTTGCCTATTCAACAATAATCTATAAATATCTACTACATGTCCATAACTTTATTAATAGCAGAATATGAGTCAAGAAGACAAGGACCCTACCATCAGAGAGCTTCACAATAGAGTTAGGAATGCAAATAGAAAGAACACAAAAGAGCAATATTGGTGTACATTGTTGAATGGTATAAAAGAATACTGGATATGATACAGAATGAATGTAGGATATCAAGTAGGATATACCTAAAAGATGAAAAATATTAATTTTCTGTACTATTGTTACACTTAAAAACATTCTCATTCAAGATTATTACCTGAATCACTGATGTCCATGGTCACCATCATCAAAGCTACTTTTTGGAATTGTCCTCTCTGGAGCTCAGCATCAACACTTTATTTAAGTTTCTTAACATTCATCCTTTTTTAATTGGATCTATAATTGAATCTATAATCTCTACATTAAATACATAATGCTATCAATGGAGATCATTCTAAACCACAAGAATTTTTTAAATAACATTAGGACATATTTTTTTCACCCTGCTAAGTACATTATTTTTGTGATTTCTACAACATGACCATTTATTGAAATGTTTTCAAGTGATCTTTTAAAGGTTTGTTTACTTTACTTTTTGATAATATTCCCAGGAAATATTCTGCAAGATAAAAGACTGAGCAAGTCTCAAATATAAAACAACTAGCTCTTTTCTGAGTGATAATTACTTTGGGGAAAAAAGCCTCATCTAGTTCTCAGACGTCAGAATTTCAGAGGAAGCACTAACCAGAGCTGCTGATAAAGAGAAGAATGAAAGGAAGACTCAATGTCTTGGGCATAAGTAAGTGGAGATGATAATATTATTCATTGAGATGAAAAAGACTATGATGGAAAGAAGTTTGGAGATCAAAGCAGAGTCAGATGTAGACAAAGTGTGATGAGATTCACTTGAAGAGTTTAGAGAAAATTGTTTTATGCAATACAGAAACAAAGAAAAATAATTCTACATTAAAATATAACCAAAAAATAAGGTTAAGAAATGTTTATCTATATTCATGAATTAAATGATATCAAACAATAATAAAGTAGTTCATCTACAGACTTAAAGGTTTAGATATTAAATTGTATCCAAAAAATCTTTAAGAAAATTTTAAAATCTTGTTATTTTGGAAAACAGGTGAGTCACCTTTCATCGGTATTATATAGAGGTACATGTATATTTCTCCACTCTCTGTTTCTGTCTCACTGTGGGCCATACAACTTTCAATCTCATCCTATTTCTCCAAACTGACATTCCTACTTCCAATCTATGTTCAATTCTAGTCTCAAGTAATATTCATAAAATGTCATCAGGCCTTTTCATGCCCCTGCTGTCTCTGACAAACTCAAACTTTTTCCCATGGCACACAGGCCCTTGCACGACCTGGTTTCCTCCAACCTCTCCAGCTTCATCTCATAACACTTTCACTCACAATCCTCAGCCACACTGCATTCCTTCCTGCCCCTGTGATCACAAAGACATTTTCTGCCTTAGGACCTCTGCATTTGTTGTTCCTTTTATTTGGTATTTCTTCCCAGTTTTTAGCAAACCTGGCTCATTCAGGTCTAAAGATCATTTTGATCACACACTAACCAATATGCTACCTATTTTCTTCATAGTATTTACCAAACACGTAACCAACCCTCTTACTTCTGCCTCTCCCATGAGAAAGTAAACCCCATGAAGGCAGAAAACAGGTTTGTATTCTTCACTGAGTTCATCCCACCACATAGCCCATAGCAAGCCCTCAGTCCTTGTGGGATAAAAACTGCTCACTTGTCACAGTACTTCTAAAGCAGTTCCTTTCTGCATCATTAACCTTGATAATCGACTTTGCACTTTAACACAAATGCTTCATGTTCAAATATTAAATTACTGAATATTTTAAAGTTTTTTATTTTCTTCTAAATTAAAATTCTATGCTCCTACAAGGTTATTTCATGACTCTTATATCCTTTCCTCTCATTCCACGTAAGAACAGTGGTTCTAAATTAATGGGGGAACATAAAATCTATCTTCACAGCTTTTCCAAACTTCACACATTCAGACCTAATAAACCATGTGAATGGTGCCTCCATGTATGTAATTTAAAATATTTCCCATGGTAAGCTGATACACATGTTTAGATAGAAACCTTTGAAATGAAGAGATATTTGATAAGTAAGAAATATCTGGCCGGGCGCTGTGGCTCACGCCTGTAATCCTAGCTCTTGGGAGGCCGAGGCGGGCGGATTGCTCAAGGTCAGGAGTTCAATACCAGCCTGAGCAAGAGCGAGACCCCATCTCTACTATAAATAGAAAGAAATTAATTGGCCAACTGATATATATATAAAAAAAAAAATTAGCCGGGCATGGTGGCACATGCCTGTAGTCCCAGCTACTTGGGAGGCTGAGGCAGCAGGATCGCTTGAGCCCAGGAGTTTGAGGTTGCTGTGAGCTAGGCTGACGCCACGGCACTCACTCTAGCCTGGACAACAAAGTGAGACTCTGTCTCAAAAAAAAAAAAAAAAAAAAAAAAAAAAAAAAAGAAATATCTGCCTTACCTGGCCCCACAATAACCAATTAATTAAATATGTAACAATTACATACCACAAATTCCATAGAGAACAGAGAAGTTACTGGCCATCTTCTATGTGGGATAAAACCTTAGGACAGAATTGTTTTAGGAATTCTAAATAATGTCTGATCAGGCCTGAGTTCCTATAATGTAGATGCTAAGTGGGTAGATATTTTAGAAAAGGCTGGAAGTCAAGGACTATTTACTGGAGGTGAAAAAAGAGCTCACACTGAAAAGAGGGGTAGTGGCTCTAAACAGGGAAAGCACACCACAATCAAAGGCTCAGGTGCAGAGAAAAATGTGTGAAAGGCATTAAGGAAGAAACTCATTCAAATGGAGTTAACTATGGCTTTTGGACACAAAAGAAGAACTGGATAAATAAGATGTTGCTACACTATGAGGTCCTTCGACATAAAATGGAGTTTAAAAATCACATAGCAGGTAGTGGGGGACTTACACCCACCAGACTACTTGGCAGGAGGAGTGAGAAGCATTAGAGAAGCTAGACATCAAATGCACTGGGGGTGACTTCAAAGTCGTTCATCTGTACAAGTAAGGGAAGGAGCAGAATCTCCTTACTATGTTAAGGTGTTAGATTTTTATTCTACATCCATGGATTCACATTCTACTCTCTCTGTGGGTTTAAAACAGAAATCTGTTCAAATTATCGGAAGAAAGGAAAAGTAATAAGTTAAAAGAGTTTTAAATGAAAATAAACTTAAAGGCAATAAGTGTTATCTAAAACAAGAAAAGAATTACGCATCCTTAAAGAGGAGGAAACAAACCTACTTCCCAAGGAATGGAGACAAAAGAAGCTAACAAGCAGCCCTTTATGCAGGAAAGCAGGGTCCTAAGTGATTGGCCATCAGCCTGTGCTACTGTACGGGTGAGCAGGGACACATTTTATCATGAACTCCATGCAAAGAAGACACATCCCAATGTGGAGACCAGGATACAGAGCATATTAATTAAACTTCATGAAAAACTCACGTCACCAGTCTTGAGTCAACTCTAAAGATTCTGGAACTTGAAGTACAGTTTTATGAACAAATTTCAAAAGTGCCCATGTGTCATCAAAAACATGAGATTTAATTTTCACTGCATCTCATAAATCCGATTATTTCTCACCTGAAAGGTTCTGACTCAGGATTTCCTCATCTACCATCCAGGCCTCTTCTTTCTCCGGTTTGCAAATCCCATCAGGTCTGACAATTTGACAACCTGTTGATTGGAAACACAGAGGACTTAGACCCAACTGCTTGGGCTGAGAGACCTGTAAAAGGAAGAATGTTTTATTACAAAGGCTGGTAAACAGAGCAAGTGAATAAAATTTGGCATTTTCAATTTGGCATCGAAGTCAAAGAGTCGTTGACACCTGAAACATGTATCTAAGATCAGTGAATCCCTCAGAGGTCTCAGTTATCGGGCATACACTAAATCACACAAGAAGAACCTTCTTACCCAAGAAAACGAGATGGCTATAGTTCTCCAGCATCACATCTCTGTACAAGTTCTTCTGAGTAGGATTCAGAAGCTGCCATTCTTCCCATGTGAAATCCACAGCCACATCCTCAAATGATACCTAGAAAAGCACAATCTTGGTCAAATCCAAAGCGATTCTCATGAGGTCCTACAGAATATAGGCTTTCCTCTCCATCTGTGGTGCACAGCCTCTTAGACGCCCAGTGACGTCTGACTCCTGGTATCCATCCACCTTTCCTGAGTGTGAGCTGGACTTACTGACTCACTTCTGCTGAATAGAACAGGGCAAATGATAGGATGTCACTTCTAAGATTAGGTTATGAAAGAATGTGACTTCCACCTTGGGAGCTCTCTCTTGCTCTCTTTGGGGGTCTAGCCACCATGCTGGGAGGCAGCTGGGTGGAGAGGCCCACTGTGGCAAGGAACTGAGGCTGCCAAGAGCCTGTGAATGAGCTTAAAGGGGATCATCTCCCTATGACACCTTGAGATGACTGGAGCTCTCTCCATATCTTGGTTACTGCATCATGTGAGACCCTGAACCAGAACTGACTGGGTGAGCGACTGGCAGATTCTTCAACCACAGAAACTGTGAGATAAATGTTTATTGTCTTTAGAGGTTTCAGGTAATTTGTTACACAATAATGGATAATTATTAATAATACAATATCCTAATCTTGCATTATGCTTTGATGAAGAAACAAAAATGTTACTAAAATATTTATCATTGTGAATTCATTCACCCATCTACCCATCCTTTGAATAAGAAATTAGAATAGGTTGTCTTTAAATAAGTACAGTGCTTCTCAAAGTAGGGGTCATAGGTATTTGAGACTAGCTCTTAGCTTAGCCCCATGCAGTGTAAGACCTTCAGCGTGCCTGGCCTCTACCTCCTAAATGACAGTAATACCTTAGCCACTGTCAAAACCCAAACCACATGTACATATTTAAAATACTCTCCTCCCGCTGGGAGTGGTTCTGCTCAAGTAAGAATAACTAGCCAGCTTTTAGATATCTTCTAACACACATATATTGAGCGATTAACGTTCCAGGAACTATATCATTATGGCACTGGAAATAAAAATATGAGTAGAAGAAAAACCATGTTCTCAAATACTTTTCAGTCTTTTCAGGCCAGAGGTAACAAGGTGTTACAGGGGCAATGAAACAAGAATTTGCAGAATATGGGGACAAAACAGGGGTAAAATATTGAATTTGAGAATACTGGGTTAGGTGCTATGATGATAAGAAAGCCCTGGTTACAGCGGGGTGTGGGGAAAGGACATGCCTGACGCAGCCGTGTGAGCAAAGGCGTGAAAACAGCGTTTCCTTGGCTTTCCGGAATATAAAAGAGGGCATGGGAGAGTCGTGGTCTCTTTTAAAGTGAGCAGAAACAGAGAGGTAAGCTGAGGCCAGCTTTCACCTGAACTCAGGTAAATCCTTGTGTGCCAAGCTTTTGCCAATAGAAGCAACAACATTTCTACATGAAACAGATCAAAATTCCAACTGAGAGAATATTGATGGGGATCATTTGAAAATCTTGCAATGATTAGTTCTGCCAGATGATTTAGATTTCTTTCCTAAACCTAGAATGTAGGTAGGAAGTATACTCAAGGCCTCTGCCTCAGTCCTCGAAGAAACGGTGTCCGGAGTTCTCCTTTAGATTCATGCCCCCGGCTGATGCTGAGGAACTCTGTAACTGCAGTCCCCAACCCTGGGGCCCGTCCCTTGCCTGTTAGGAAAACAGGCCTGCACACCACCGCCTGAGCCTCCCCCATCCGTAGAAAAATTGTCTTCTGTGAAACTGGTCCCTCGTGCCAAAACAGGTTGGGGACCACTGCTCTATGAGTAACAGTCCTAGGAAATGTGTTTATTCACCGCAGGTTGCTATTTAGGACCTGTCCACTATAGCACCTATGTGAATAGTTATCAAAACGTTTCCTTTATGTGTCATTACCAGGAAACGTTTGCTTCTCCAGAGTAACAGGTCTGCTTTTTCCTTTTGACAGAGGACACCATCTAACCGTTACCGTTTATATTATGGCTTCTGGGAATATCTGAGAAAAGCTTGCAGCTCAGCTTTGCTACAACGCAGGATCCTACTTTTTTTTTTATTAGAGTCCAGCGGCTTTTATTAGGTTTGTCTCCTATACCATGAATTCATAGGGAATAGATTCTGGCAGCTCATGGTTCTTTCTTTGCTCTCACAGGTGTGCTATACCTATTACACCGTGAATTCACAGGGAACAGGTCCCAACACCTCAGGCTCCTTTCTGTCGCTTCTCACAAAGTGTGAAACACCTATTATGCCATGAATTCATAAGGAATAGGTTCCAGCAGCTCGGGCTCCTTTCCACTGGTTCTCACAAAGTGTGCTTCTCTGGGTGGAGCAGGCTGTCACTTCAGTTGAACCCAGGTACCTTTCTCTTTGGCTTCCTTCCTTTTCTGATCATTTTCCTTCACACGCACCAGGAAGCTATCTCAGCTCTTAGAGTGCTTAATGTGCTCAATACGTACATTAATCCTCTTGGCAAGATCTTGCCCTTAACTTGTTTATTTACAACAATTCCAACAGCATGCTGGGTAACGTTGTAGACTCTTCCAGTTTTGCCATGGTAACATTTGTGGGGCATGCCTTTTTGAGCAGTACCCATTCCCTTGATGTCTACAATATCACCTTTCTTGTAGATTTGCATGTATGTGGCCAAAGGAACAACTCCGTGTTTTCTAAAAGGCCTAGAGAACATATATTGGGAACCTCTCCTTTTCCCTTTGTGTTCATCATTTTGTCGAATTACTGGAAGATGGCGGTTCCGGCAGAGAGGGCAGGATCCTACTTTTTATTTATCTATGTTCCAAGTTCCAACTCTAAGACTTCTTTATGATTCTATAATCTACTTTGTGCTTCTTTTGACATCTTTCCAAGTTTATATTTTCTCTTATTTAAATGCATTGAGACCTTTCTGTTTGTGGCAGATTCCTGTAAGCCTCATCACACCCATGGAAAAACAGATAACTCACCTGTGACTCGATCATTTTCTGCTGCTTTTGGGAAATCTGTTTTGCGATTTCTCTCCGTCCTGACACTCTTGGGGGAGGCTTCTGGTCAAAAGTCTGTCAACTGAGACTGCATCCTTGGTCTTGTGGCCTCTTCTTTCCTATCTCGCATGAACTGTATTGTTCCTGAGAGGTATGGCCTGTGGATGCAGTAGAAATTTTATTTTAGATGATGTAATTAATTTGGAAACCTAAATCTTGGTTTTCCTTTGCTGGGAACTCAGTTCATTTAAATCCTCAGATTAAATGTTTGGTGGACTCAAACGAGGGCCAGTGGGTAAGACAGGATGAATGAGCTGCTAGCATGTCTCAACTTCTGGGCCAGGTCTGCATACTGCACTTAACAGCTCTGGTTCCTACCTATAAACGCCAGACTGAAGCCATTCACCTCACTGGTTTAAGCAAGCACCCCCAGGAGAGCACCACCCCACCAAACTGCTGGGCAGAGACCTCAGGAAATGCTGAAAATGCAACCGTAGCTCACTCATTCTGCTGCAATATTTTCTGGAGGCACCTACATTATTTGCATAGGTGCTACAGAGTAAAATGCAAACAAACAAACAAAAAAAAAGGACTTTTAGATCAACACAGTGAATTAGCCTAGGGTTTTGGCTCCCTACCCTCAAATCAGCCCTGGAACAAAAGAAAAACATAGATCAGAGTAACCGATAGTAATAATAAGAGAAACACCAGGGCAGACTGCAGGCTGTGGTGAAGTTTATGGGTAGGTTTGGGGCTGAGCGGGGATGGCTGCAAGGTCTACAGCAGACGGCAGCCAGACAGATATCCAAGGAAATCTTTTATGTTACCTCTTTCTCAGTTCACATTGGGACAAAGACTGCCTGTACTTCCTCTCAGAAATCAGTAGCCACAGGTTTCCAAGGGCTAACAGAGGCAGATCAGAATGAAACCATCCATATTAAAATAACATAGAGCCTCAAGGTGTAAATAGTAAACAAGGTTTAGTTTTATAAAAGCATAGCTAGAAGTTAACCAGCACTGTCCCCTAACTTCCTTGCCGCTGTAACTGGTCACTGCATCACTGCTTAATGGCACTATCCTCACTGACAGACACACGACCTGTGACCCCCTCCCCTACTTCTATAGGTAACATTGTTGTTGTAAATCCAAGACTTGTGACTCCACAGATAACACTGCTGTTGTAACTGTTAAGACTGGTCTTTGAGATGTTTCTCAGACTCTGCATCTGGAAGTCCTACTAAGGCCAACCAGACCCGTGGGCAGGCGTGGGAACCAATCCAACATCCCCTGAAACGCTCTACCCACTAAACCTCCCCACTGAGAAGATAATTTCTGCATTCCAACCCTATGAGCTCATCCCCCACCAATCAGCAGACCCAATTCCTTAGTCCTTTGCCACCAAACTCCCTTTAAAAACTCTTCCTCCAACATTTGAAAAATCACTCCCATCTCCTTGCAGGGTGCCTGCGGCAATAAAACTCTTTCTCTGCTGTACCCCCTGATGTCTCGGTGTGCTGGCTTCCTCCTGAGCAGTGAGCAGTGAGCCTGGCAGGGCTGCAACAAGAATCCTGCTGAAGGAAGAAATCTGGAGATGGCAAGGACTGTCCAGCTGTAACAGGACCAGTCACTCCACCTAAAAGCTAACTACTGCCTCTTTCCTTTACAATGCCTAGTTGTGTGCTTGCTTAATAATTCCAGGAATTGGTTTGGGCAGATAACTATAAAACCCCCTAGAGGAAAATGCTGAGCAGTTAACCTTCAATTCCATTCAACCACACAGAAGCCAGCCAGGCCAGATGGCCCATCACTCAAGATAACCACCAGAAAAAAGGAATGCAGCCCTCAGGTGGGCCCCTCCTAGGCCTCCTTCTCCTTTAAAAGCCCTTCCTCAGACTGAGGAACCTGAGAGGGCCTCTGAGGCACTGGAGCCTGCCAGGTCTTCAGGATGCCGCTCTTGAAATAAACCCGCTTTTCCTTTCACCATCCCTGGACTCTTGAGTTTGGCATTTTAAGCAGCAGGCAGCTGAGCCTACTTTCAGTTACACAGTTGCTTTTGGGCCCAGCATCCCAGGGCTGGTGGACAGCCACCATGGAGGAGCTGCCTGGAGCAGGGCAGGATGCCAGTAGCCCCGCGTCTCCCAGGGTCTGCACGCTTAGCCCTGGGACCCCTCAATTCCTCTCTGCTTCAACTCACCAGAAGTTTCAAAGACTAAGGCCTGGCCTTTAGCCCTTCCCTTTGGCACATCACCACAATATGTAGGAGAGCAACTAACACTCCTAGGGGAATATAAACTCACAGACCTATAAGGGCAAATATAGACTTAAAATAAGGATAAACCCCTAATTCTCCCTCATGCAAAAAAGGGAAAGAGACTTGTCCCTGCTTTTTTTTTTTTTTTAGAGCATTTACTTTAGAAAACTCGTAAATTCTGTGAACTAAGACAAAATTTTAAGTCCCCCCCCAATAGCTGACCTCGTGGCCATGGGGACCCCAGAAATACCCTGAAGCTGAGCTGCTGGCCATTAGAAGGGAGGTCAGACAACCTTGTAGTGCCTGTCCCTTCTTGGAGATGTCTTCTGTGACTCATTGACAGGCCTCAGGCCATGCAGAACACAGCTCCAACCATACCTGCAGGGCATCAATTCACTCAACAGATCACTTGCATCTGGGTATATGTCCGGTGGCTTGTCTCTGATTAACAGACTTCCTTATCTTAAAACATTCCAAGCCTTTAGACACAGCTTCCTTTCTTTAACCAATCATGAATCAAAGAATCTTTGAACCCACCTATAATCTGTAATGCCCCTGCCTGGAGATGTCCTGCCTTTTGGGGCCAAACCAATGCACACCTTCCATGTACTGACGTGTGACTTTACATGTAATCCCTATCTCCCTGAAATGTATAAGACCAAACTATACCCCAACCACCGGGAGACCATTTGCTCAGGGCTTCTTAGGCATGGTTCTCCAGACCATAGTCACACATATTTGGCTCAGAATAAACCTCTTTAAATTATTTTACAGAGTTTGGGGTTTTTTTCCACTGACAATTCTTGCTCTGCCCCTTTGAGACATATATAAATCTTTTTTAAAGCTAAAAAAGCCTTTTGCCAATTTAATGACCCAGGGATGATTTTCTCAGGGACCAGGGAGCCATCTGTTTGAAAACATCAAGGAATATTATCACCCCCATCTCCCAGTTTCTGTGGGTGGGTAGGAGTCTAACTTCAGCAGCACTGCTCCGGCTTGTAAAACTTGCCTCCTGTCACAAAGACATGAGAAGCTTATTTTTTCCTTTGGATAAAGACAATTAGCAAACACAGGCGACCACCTCGATTACCAGATGAATTTAGGATGAACTATGTGTGACAAATGGTGCTACCAAATCCGCTTACATGAGAACTAGTTGTTTTTCTTGAACAACCCATATGCGCGGTGGGTTGCATCTGCTAGGTTATAGAAAGGGATAAAAGTTCTTTCTGTCTTGGCACTCTTTTCAGCAAACTGCCTGTGATGTGCATGCTGTCTGGTTTAATTTGCATTCAATAATAAAACTATTTTTCTTTATTTTCTACTTTTGTGGAGAGGTTTTCTGGGTTGGTAGATTTTGGTTTTAATTATTTCCTCAATAAGCCAAACAACCAGATAGCTGAGTATAACTACTATTTTAAAAACCTTTAAAATACCACAGATTACACAACAGATATTATTTTGTGGGATAGTTAAAAAACATAATCTGTTTGGAAAGACTGGCTGAATTTTGAATTCTGACCCAAAACAGTGGCGGAGGGAGGAGCAAGGACATCCAGGGCAGGAAGAATTCCCAGGAGAAGTGGGAAGGGAGAATGGCCTGGGGTTTACCCATTCATGGGAATGTCATAAAGGTCACCTTCCCTGAGTACAGTGGACTCTTTCTAGTCCATGGTGTGAAGGGCATGCAGCTTGAGGCAGATCTCTCAGGAGAAAACAAAAACATCACGGAAGAGCCCAGAGAACAACATTCAAAGGAAAAGTGCTCGCCCAAGATGACTGGGGAGCTCCTTTAGGCTTGTGGGCACACGGCTCAGGGGGTTTCAAGAGTCAGGGATGCCCAGAGAGGAGCCCTGGTTGACAAAAGGAACCCCAGAATTATTGCCATGCAGGCCTGGGGTCCCTGAGATCAAGGCCCACCGCCCCGGAAGCTTCTATTTAGTTTCGGCCCCTCTTGAGTTGGTGCAGTGGTCTCCTCCAGCTGTCTCCCCTGGCACCAGTAGGTGCCTGTTGTCCTGACATCCAAAAGCAGTCACTTGGCTTCCCCCTTAGGGCCCTGAAGTATTTACTCTCTCTGCTCTCACCTTCACATCAAGTCTTCCTCTCTTGCCCACATACACACATTCACACAGATACATACTCATACATACACACACACACTCACATATACATACACTCACACAGACACACAGACACACAGGCATATACTTACATACACACTCACACACACATACACACACATTCACGAACACATACACACACATACGCATACTCAGACACATACACATTCACAGACATACGCATACTCAATCACACACACACACAGGCATACACTTACACACACTCACATACATATACTCACACACATATACACACATTCACAAACACATACACTCAGACACACACATACATATGCATACTCAGAGACACACTGACACACACATATACACACACTCACACACATACATATGCATACTTACAGAGACACATACACTGACACACACACAGGCATACACTTACATACTCATATATCTACACACACGCACACTCACACATACACTCACACACATACATGTACACATTCACATATTCACAAACACACTCACACACACACACACACACACATAACACACACTCACACTGTCTCATTTATTGGCCAGGAAAGCACCGTGTGCTGAATGCCTGCTACACACCAGGCACTGCTCGGGCACATGGAAGAGACAACTAACCAAGACAAACATGGTGGTCCCTGCCCTCTAGAAAATACATTCTAGAGTGGGACACAGGTAAGTAAATAAAATAATCTCAGACTGCAGGAGTGCTCACTGTGCACTAAAGGCGGGAGCCAGCTGAGGCGGCCCTGCAGAGACCACACCACTCAGGGCACACCAGACCCACAGGCTGGGGCTGGGGCTGGGGAGAGCGGAGGTGGCCACAGCCAGAGGAGGGCAATGAGCAGATAGCATAGAAGGGGAAGGCCTGAAAGCCAATGGCGTCACTGAGAACTTTTAAAAAAGCAAATATTCATGTAAAAGGAATATCAACAAGCACATGATGGGGGGGGGGGAAGGACAAAAAATACGGTTATTTAACAGAAGTCACCACATGAGAGACCTGCCAACACACGACCAACACTTACTCAGACCTATCTCCAAACCCAGACGTGACCCTTGCCAGGCCCTCGATCACATGCTCGCCCCACAGACACTGCACGACCGAACCCAGCAGCTGCATACCCCTGCACACCCACACCGATCTCCAGCATTCACATGCCCCGTCGCCCACAGTGCCACCTATGAATTCTCCAGCTCCACGCCCAAGACCTCCCCAGGTCACTGAACCCACAGGCCCCTCCATAAGTCTCCAGACCACCCAGCCACAGAACCCCATAAGCTGTGCTAACACTTACCCTATGTCCCCGTCACCCCCACAGAACCACAGTTGTTGATTTCACAAGCCACTCCTCTAGGGCCTTCAATGGCACACTATGGGTTCCCTAATAACTCGTCTAGCACAGCCCCCCCACCCCCCAGTGACTCTCAGCGTGCCTACGATCAACCAGTGACTGGAACTACAGACCTGGAACTGGCCTGCAGACCACCAATCACAGATACCCAAAGGCCACTGACTTCCAACTTCACAATCACTCACCTCAAACAGCAAACAAATCACTGAACTCCCCAGGCTCCCCGATTTCTCACCCTCACCCACCCCCACACCAATCACAGACACTGCAGGCACGCTGGTCATTCATTCCCAGAGGCCATGCAAACATCGAACCCATGATGGCTCCAAGGATTCCTCCTCACTGATCCCCACCGCTCACCCCACCAGGTACCCTTCATCTCTAGCACCCTGGTCATGAACAGAAACAATCTCCTTATCATTCACCTCCAGGCCCCCAAAATAACAAAACCAATCCACAGGGCATGAATCAATAAAATCCCATTTCTCCACCCCTCCCCGCCAAATCAATAATGCACCCGATCCTCAACCACAGACTCGTGGAGCCCACTGATACCTCTGGTGTCAGCCATTCCTGTCACACCAGTCTCTCAATCCCTGAGTCCCATGGACCAGCCACAGTCAATGCTAGAGGACCCATGATAGAGTCCTCACTCCCAGAACCCCTAATTGCTGACTTCCACAAGGCTTCTAAACACAGATGTCCAGATTTCCAAACTACTGGTGATCCCAGACGCCCATGAAATAATCGCCACAAATGTCTATTCACTGACTATAAACTGAGTCAGTGAAACCCCCACTGAGTGCCAAAGGATGCCCAGACTCCAGTCACGCTCTCCTACAGGTACCCACTTGCTCACTTTAACAGGTGCCCCATCACTGCTCTCCTGGAGCCCCTCCCCCAGTCACTGACCCCCCTCAGGCTTACTATCTCTTATCACCACAGACCACCTGCATTAGCCCCAGTCACTAAACCCCAACGGATGCCCAATCCTTTATCCCACAGGGACCTCAGGCATTTACCCCCATGACATCCCATTCTCTAATCTACTCCATGCTCACCCCATTTATTGACACCCCACAGGCTCTCCTGATCATCACCTGGAAAGGCTTTGATCAGCACTGATCAGCACTTGATCAGCACTGCACAAACACTAGGCTCCTCCAGTGACCCCACTGTCCACTCACAACCCAAACTGGCCAATCACTAACCTACATCCAGACCCTCTTGTCACAAACACACAGTTCCCCCATCTCTGATGCCTCAATCGCAACACCCCCAAACACAGCCCTAGAAAAAAATCCCCACCACGCTCCAGCATAGGCGACCCCAGTCACTCGCCTCCACTGAAACAGCAACCACTGTTACTCAACTCAAATAAAACAACATTCCAGATGGAGTAAGGAAAGACTTTATTCCAAAGGATAACTGGTGGGGAAGGACAGGGACTACTGCTTTAGGGAGATCACTGAGACCTGGAGAGGTGCATCTTCCCAAGGTAAAAGGGTTTCTCTTTCACAGAGAGGAGTAAACTAGGTTAGAAAAGACCAGCTGTGGTGAAGTAGGATGGAAGGGTGGGGTGACCAGAGAAAACAAAGTTTTACCCTGAGCCAACCTGTTCTCAGGAGAGGCTGTGTGGAGGCTCAGCCTGGCAGTGGGCCAAAGTTCAGGGAACTGGGGAAAGGAAAGAAGCCTAATCAAAGTTTGGTTAACAAGCATTTTGTTGCGCCTGATCAGTGGGGACAAGTAGTTCAGCTAATCATTGACAAGGCAAGGAACGAAAATTTTGGGGGCTCTGTGTCTGACCTTGTCACAGGTAAACAAGGGTGCATGTTTGGAACTTATCTAGGTCATACGGGGAAGGGGAAGGGGGTTCTTCGCAGTGAGCACTTTCCTGGAACACAAAACGGTGGGAGATCTCTTAGCCTTCTGTTTTCCAGGCGCAGGGGGCTCAGGTAAAATCCAACAATGTCAAGATCAACAGGCTTCCGGTTAATGAAATCCACCTTCCAACATTCTAAGTCCTCTAAATCCCTCCAAAACAGGCCCCCCACAAAAACTTTACCGTCCACCCCACTGACCTCCAAATGCTACCCCAAAAGCACCCAAATCACTGATCACCGGAGTCCTAATTACTCCTGCAAACAAACCCTCAACTTGTATCCCAGGGGCTCACCCTCTACAAACGGACTCCCCAAAACCGCTCCCACTGAGTCGCCCATTTAATTCCCTCCACCGGCCTCGGAGCCACTCACCCCCTCTCAAGACCGAGGTCACTGATTTTCACACGTCCCAATATCCGACACTCAAGCGTCCTCAAATTCATCAACTCCAGTCACCCCCGCAGCCCCCCAGCCACCCACCCCACAAGCTGCCCCGCCACCGACCCCCGGCTCCCCCGCGACATCACATTCGCTGCCCCGGTCGTCACCGGCCCCACAGACCCCGGCTCCCCATCCCGTCCCGTCCCGCCCCCCGCGCGCCCCAGGGCCGCCGCCCCCCGGGTGCGGGTCAGCGCATGCGCTGCGGGGCCGCCCCGCGGGGCCCCCTCGCACCCCGTTCAGCAGAAGGTTCGTGCGCCTCCCCGGGTCACCACAAGCCGGCCTGCGCCGGGGTCAGCGCGAGCCCTGGGGCAGACACGGAGGCCGCCCCCGCCCCCGGTGCCCAGCCGTCCTGCCCCCGCCCCACACACCCTTACCCCTCAGGCCTAACGGTGCGGACGGACACGGCCGATGGCGGAAGCGTCCGCGCAGAACTACATTTACCAGAGCCCAGCTGGCCCCGAAACTGCGTTTCCCAGAGGGCCCCGCGGCCGCCGGCCGACGCTCGGGCTTCCGGTCGGTGTGGTCCCCGCGCCTCCTGGGCCTGGGCGGCCGGCCGGCAGGTAACTTCTGCCGCTTTTCCACTGTGATAAGAGATGTAAGTAATACAGGTGATTTTTGTACATCAATCCGGCAGTACTGAACAAAAAGATTTTTTTTTTTTTTGAGACAGAGTCTCACTTTGTTGCCCAGGCTAGAGTGAGTGCCCCGGCGTCAGCCTAGCTCACAGCAACCTCAAACTCCTGGGCTCAAGCAATCCTCCTGTCTCAGGCTCCCGAGTAGCTGGGACTACAGGCATGCGCCACCATGCCCGGCTAATTTTTTTTTTGTATATATATTTTTAGTTGTCCAATTAATTTCTTTCTATTTTTAGTAGAGACCGGGTCTTGGTCAGGCTGGTTTTGAACTCCTGACCTTGAGCAATCCACCTGCCTCCGCCTCCCAGAGTGCTAGGATTACAGGCGTGAGCCACAGCACCCGGCCTGAACAAAAAGATTGAAAATAGGTGAACTGGGGCATTTAGGGGCGAATAAAATATAATTATGGAAAGAAAAAATTAATGAGTATAAAAGCAGAAATTAAAGTAAGATAAAAGATAAACATATATGCAATCTTTAAAAAAATTATACGTAAACATTGAGGACTGAACTCTAATTTGTTTGTAAAACTCTGTCCTAAGGAGCCACTGGGTTAGGCTGCAAATTGTAAGGAGCCACAGAAATAGGCCTGACCAACAAAATGTACCCAACAATAGCAAACTAACAAAAACAGTTTCTTTCTGACCTATAGTAAGGCATTCATACTAGTAAAGCCCTGTCTTACTCAATTAGCGATGCCTAATTCTTAAAATTTAAACATCTTTAAAACAGTCCTACAGGCGCCTATGTAAATTTAAAGTGTCCTCACTGTCTGGACTCCCAGAGTGCTCAGTACCCGCTTATCTTAAGCTAAGCATATCCTTCTGGTCTTCTAGATACAAGATAACTCTCTAAAAGCCAATTGTCCAGCACAAAGAATCTTTAAACCACCTACCTTAACTGTAAGCCCCGCTTCGAGAGTCCACCTTTTTGGCAAACCAAGGTATCCTCTCTATCCCGATTTGATTTCGTGACTGTTTGCTGTACCTGCCTCTCAAAAAAAAATGTAAACACAAAACACACAACACACTTGCCCAGCCTCTTGGCAGTGTCTCCGGTCATGGTCTCAATCTGCTCAGAATAAATCTCTTTTAAATTATCTTTAAACAGAGTTTCGGCTTTTTCCGTCGACAACATATACTAAATTTTTTTTATAAAAAATGGGGAGACAGGAAAAAATGCACAATCGACAATAGAAAAAATGGAAACAGCCGTAAAGAGTGTGAACTAAAATGCTCACCCCCCCCACCAGCTGACTGAATGGACCCCCTCTTGGCCAAAGGAATATTCTAGGGCAAAGTTGCCTGCCAGGAGGAGGGAGGTCAGACATGCCTTATCATGCCCCCTCCCTTCTAGGAGACTTGTAACCCATTAACAGGCCTAAGGGTATGCAAGACAAACCTGCAGGCCCTCAGTTTGCAACAAATGGTGGTTTACCTCAGGTAAACAGTTTATGTTAAAACATTCCAGGTCGTTAGACAAAGCTTCATGTCTTTAGCCAATTACAATCTAAAGAATCTTTAAACCCACCTATAACCTATAAGCCCCCTCCCCCTTCGAGATGGCCCTCCTTTTTGGGCCAAACCAATGTATGCCACCCACACATTGATTGATGGCTTTACCCACAACCCGTGCCTCTAAAATGTATAAAAACCAAACTGTAACCCAGCCACAGCGAGTACACTTGCCCAAGGCCTCTTGGCAGTGGCTCAGGGTCATGGTCCTCAAATTTGGCTCAGAATAAATCTCTCTAAAATTATTTTGCAGACTTTGGCTTTTTTTCCGTTGACAAGAGGAAATTAAAATATTTGTGAAATATTTTGCTCAATTCTGTGTTAGTAAATTTGGAGTCTAATGAAATAAATGATCTAAAGGAATAGTTAATTAACTTAAAAAAAGAATTATCTTTTTAGACCTAAAGCCATTGGTAAATTTAAAAACATTCCAACTCCAGGCACATATGATTTAGTTGATGAACCCACCACAGTTTCAAGTAGTATAAATCTTTCTAAAAAATTTCCAGAAAAATCTAGAAAGAACACAAAACTTTCTCAATACAAAGTTTACAAAATACTTAGGCTATAATCAGGCAAAGGTAGGATTAAACAAACAATAAAGCAATCTCAGTTATATTTATGTGAAAATCTTTGGAAAATAGGAAATGAAATCAAGCAATACATTAAAAAATACATATAACCAAGTAGAAGCCACAGCAAGACTATATAAATTACTGACATAATTCACTATATCAATAGATTGAAGGGGGAACATGAATCATCATCTTAATGACTAATGAAAAATCATTTAGCCTGGAATGTGTATTTTTTTTAAAAAGTCTCGTACAGAAGTATTGCAATATTAACATCTAAAAATAAATGTCTCATAAATGGATAACACTGTAAGAAGTATTGCCATTAGAAATCATGAAACTATGACTACTATTGTTTGCTTAAATTCAAAATTTAATTTTTTAATTTAATTTTTGTTTTTTTTTAACGACAGGGGTCTTGCTCTGTCACCCAGGATAGATGCTGTGGCATGATCATAGCTCACTGTAACCTCAAACTGCTGGGCTCACGTGATCCTCCTGCCTCAGCCTCTGAAGTAGCAGGGACTACAGGTGGGTGCCACCACACTCAGCTAATTTTTAAATTTTTTTGTAGAGTCGGGGTCTTGCTATGTTGCTCAGGCCTTGAGCAGTCCTCCCACCTCGGCCACCCAAAGTGCTGGTGTTACAGGCATAAGCCACTGTGCCTGGTCCAGAATATTTAAAAAATACACAGAAGTACAGAAAATGATATAATAAACAGGAAAATTATCAAATATTTATATTTTATAGTATTTTATTCAGATCTTTCTTTAACCAGAAAATAAAACATTACATATTCATTCATTTGCTGTTCTCTAAACCCTATCATTTCTTTCCTCCTCTCTACCACCCCTTCTAGGAAAATCACTATAATGATTTTGCTGTGTAGCCTTATTTTCAATGTATTTATAGTTTTACTACATACAAACTATACTTAAAGGTGTGTACATGTATAGATATACTAATGTGTCATGTACATTTTATATGTCTTAAGTTTACATGAGTGCTATTTTTAACATCAAACATGACACTAAATCTCCAGGTTGTTGATCCTGGTCTCTCAAGTAAAAAGACTTGTTGCGCTTAAATAACTTGAAAACTGTAGCAGTGGGAGGCCTCACACTTAAGGTTCTTAGGAAATTTTCAAAAGTAGATGCCTACATGAAACGGACAGCTTTTGCCCAAGACCTGTGGAATAAGATGACCTGAGCCACAAATCATCACGCATCTGTTTATTTCATTCTCTTTACCAGTTAAGTTTAGATTGCTTACAGACACCAGTTACATCTTAATTATGGTACTTATGAGATCTCTGTCTTTAATATTGTTCTTTGCAGCTCAGTCTTTGATTGCAGCTCTTTTGATTCAGAACACCTGGCTAAATTTGCTAATGCTTTGGCTAAAACACAAACCAACTGTTAAGTTTATATTCACTTTTTAACCAATTCCTTTGATACTAATTTCATGTGTTACGTCAATTTATTTCCTAAGTTGAACCAACTACTGAGTGACTTCTGAAATAACAAAAGTTCTTTTTTGTTTTTAAGTAGGCAATTTAGTTAATATCCCTGTATCTGGTTCTTCAGGCCCTTCAGAATGAGGATAGAACCTGTTCTCTTGGTTTAATTTGGGTAAAATTAGCTTTTGGCTTAGAAGTGGACTAAGAACTCTGGTAATGATCATAAAGTTTGAAGATCCTCAGACCACTCCCACCTCTCACACCAACTGTAAATTTGAGATCCAAAAGACTTCCTTCAGGTTCAACAATTTGGTAGAACTCACTGAAAGTTTTCATCGTCATGGGTACGGTTTATTACAGCAAGAGGAAACATACAAATTAAGATCAGCAAAGGGAAGAGGCACATGGGGCAGGGTCCAGAAGAGTTCCTACTGTGAACTTGCTGCTGTCCTCTCCTGGTGTGGTTGTAGACAACACTGACTGCTCCCAGCTGTGACGTGTGACAGCACGCATAAAGCATTGCCAACAAATGAAGCTCACTCATGTCTCAGGGTCCAGAGCTTTAGCTGGGGCTCATTCAACCCTCTGGAGGCCAAGCTGATGCTGCGTGGTCCAAAGCCCAACCCATGAGTCACATTGTTAGCACAGGCTATTTGGCCTGGGCCAAGGCCTCCAGACACTCTTATCAGGCAGGACATTCCAAGAATTTTGAGATTTCCTCCAGGAGCCAGGGGCAAAGCCACACCTCTCTTTGGACAAGGCTAATCTTTTACCACACAATGATTATTCTATCATTTGTCTGCATTACAGTGTTAAAAGTGTGTGATCTCCAGAGTTCTAAAAACTACTGTGCAACAATTTTCTTGTAAGATGACCAAATAACTTATCCTACAGTAGAAAGAATACAGTGGAACCCAAACAGTAGATTCTGGATTTAACAGTGAAGATCTGGATTTAACCAAATAATGTCCTAGGAGCTGAATTTATCAGCCAAAAGGGGGGACTTGGAAATTAAAATTCTTTCAGATTTAAAAAGCAAAACTGCCCTGCCATTTAACAGGCTGGAATAAGAGACACGTAAACTCAGCTGCAAAGTTAAAAGAAAACAGTATTTATCCCAAGCAACTGTAAAGTGTAATAAATAATAACTCCATTGAGTGACTACTGCTTTTTTACTCACTGAGAAAGGTTGTTCTTTAAAATCATAGACTATTAGAAACTTTGATATTTGAAGTATGTTGGTAATAATGAAACATTCCACTCTTCCCTGGAGGGTAAAAGTC